TGAGGGTTTCCTTCCGGATGAGCACGACGGCGCATTGTGCGTTCGAGCCCGGGTCGTCCCCGCGTGGGAGCCCTGCAGCCCGGGTCGCTCCCGCGGGCGTGTGACCGTCGGGAGTTGAGCCGTTCCGTGCTATGACCTTGGTACAAAAATGGGTTTTTTTTCGCATGGAGCCGCAGCAGCAGCCCTCAGGGGTGTGCTCTGGGGGCGAGGGAGGCCGCTGCGCCTGGGGCTGGCAGCCAGACACTGCAGTTTTCCAGGGGAGCGTGTCAGCGAGGCACGTACAGGCTCCTTGGAGTGGGCAGAGCCATCTCTCCCCATCGTCCCTCATCCCCTCCTGCGGGCTGCACAGCAAGGTGATGAGTCGAGCTCGCTACTCGTGAGCCGCACCCTCGAGGAGAGGGAAGCGGTGGTCAGAAAACACAGACCCCAGGAAGGGCAAAGCCAGTCTTGCCAGAGCCACGCTTAGCCCAGGCCAGCCCCGGAGAACAGCTCGTCTGTCACGTATGTCCCCTGTGAGTGAGTCCGGGCGTGCAAAGGTGTGTAATCGAGCAGTCCAAAGGGCTCTGGTCCCGTTGGAGTCAGACCTGAAAAGCCACATGCCTTCAGGCTCTGTTTCCCACAAAGCCTGTTGCTCCGTTTCTGGCAGGAGCGGGAGGGTGCTGGCACAGCGCGTCTCAGACTCCCGGCAGGGCTTGGCAGACTTGAATCAGCGTTTGAGTCTGCTCTGTCAGCATCATGAACTTGGGCAGATGGGGAAAATGGAACCCTCTTGGCGAGAAAGTAAGCCACGGGGCTTCCTAAAACTGGCTGTTCCAGCCTGATCACCTGCATGGCAGCTTTCCTGGCCAGCTTCTACTTGGCCTTTTTATTCAAGTACTTACTGTATAAGTAGACTTGTACCACCAGTGCCCAGGTAGCTGCCCTGTAACTTCATGGCGAGCCATGGCAATCAGCATGGCTTTATCAGAGCTACACAGTGCTTTTGTCCCTCCAGCTCCCTTCCCAAATTTCTAAGGCAGGACTGCCTTAGAAAGACATTGCTGCCTTTCTCTCTGCACTGGTTGCCTGTGCTGGAAAGTGGGGTGATTTGTATTTGCCTGCTGTAGAGACTGCAGAATCCAGTGGTGGGAAGTGATGAGCAAAAGCGAGGTGACATTACTGTTGTAACTGTAGCCATAGTGTAATTCTGATTTTTGGCCTCCCCCACTAGTTGATTAATTCTTGTTTTTTTCATGAAGTGCTTTCGGCAGCTCATGGCAGCAGCTTATCCCATTCTTTTAAGTTTCATGATACACCTGTTTCTCCTCAGGGCAGTCAGTGAGTTATACAGGATCGTGAATAGCCGTGTAAATCAGTAGTGATCTCTGCAATAACGTGGCCCACAGGTTGGCATCTACATGCCCTCAGATGTGTGGTCTCTGGGGTACAGTGTAGCCATGGCTCCGCCAAACTTCCTTGCGTGGCATTGTGTTCAGCTCCACGTCAGGAACTGTGAGCTATTTCAGCATCCCCCGGGGAATCCCTGGAGATGTTTCTCAGAGCCTGATGAACAAGCCTCATCTGGTGAAGGAAGAGTTCCCAGGGCAGGATTTCCACTTAGCAGAGAGATGAGCTGTTCCTGCAGTAGTCTCCACGCAGTGCCATCTGCACAGCTCTTTGTCTGGGGTACAAACCGAAACAACGTCTCATCCTAATGCCATCTCATGCTCTCTTCTTCCAGATGGGGCATCCTCTTCTCCCACCCGCGGGACTTCACGCCCGTCTGCACCACAGAGCTTGGCCGGGCGGCGAAGCTGGCGCCTGAGTTCAGCAAGCGCAACGTGAAGATGATCGCCCTCTCCATCGACAGCGTCCAAGATCACCTCTCCTGGAGCAAGGTATGGGGAGAGGTACCCCTCCCAAGGTGGGGAGGCACAAAGGGAGCTGCCTTGCTCCAAAGGCCAGAGGAAAAGCCCACACAGAGCATAGCCCAGGCTCCAAACTACATATCTTGAATCCCAAAGGATGTAGGATAGAGGTGCTAAAATCAGAGCAGGAACAGGAAGGTCTGTTCCATCTTCGTGGAGCAGTCCACAAAGTCCAGGGCACTCTGTGCACTGATGCTTTGAAACAAGAGGAAAACAATATTACTGCTCTCCTACCAATACCTGAAAGGGTAAAAAGTATGGGTAGGTGGTGCCAGGAGCTCAGGAAAGCAGTCTATCCACAGACCATGTGTAGTAAAACAGGAAAGGAGGCATTAGAAGGGAACAGACAGTCTCCAAAGGGTTCAGTTCATGCCCAGGCAGGGAAAAGAAAACAGAGAACAAACAGGGGCGTGTTAAACATAAAACCACAAATAGGAGCATGTTAAATATGAAACCATCCTAAGGGAGTGTAAAAAAAAGATGGGAACAAAGACAGTTTGCTGAAAGGACTAGTGAAAAACTTTGAACGCAGGCTCAGGGATGGTGTGCTGCCAGGGAGTGTGCCTCCAGGGCTCGCCGGTGCTAGGGGTGTAAACAAGCATTTCAGAGAGATAAGGCCAGAGTGTAAAAATCCCTGGGTGAATTGCCTGCCTCTTTCTTTGCTTTTAACGATGGGAATGTTCTCACGCATTTCCCAGGGGTGAGACACACAGTAAGAGGTAATAAAGATGAGAAATTCCTGCAGTCAGACATTGTTTTATGTTTAATAAAACACATGTTTTATTAAACATAATAAACATAATAAAACATTATGTTTTGTTTTAAGAAATTCCTAAGGCCAGTCAGACATTGTTTTATGTCTGACTGGCCTCAGGAATTTCTTAATTGCCTTATTGCTTAAGTTGACCTTCGTACCTGAGTGGTGCATGGCTGATGTCCCACCAAGCTTCAGAATGGCCTGAGAAAAACTGTACAAATCCCACCCCAGTTAATGAGGTTTCTGTGCTCCTCAAACTGTCTGAAACCACCGGGCAAATCAGCAGATAACATCTTGTTAAATGTAACGAGAAGTTGGGTTTTGCTTTTGTCAGGGGGTCTCACCTCCGTATTGGTTAAAGCCCTTTGAGTAACTGTAGGGTATTGCTGACTTTTACAAAGTCCTTGAGTTTCCAAGAAGGTTTTCAAAGGAATCAGCTTCGTAAAGGGCAAGCTCATCAAGGAGGTGATAAGGTGGGACACGCGAGGTTCGGCTTGCTCAGGTGATCTGGGAGGGAGGCGAACAGCGAGCTGCCTTTGCTGACGCTATGGAATTAGTCAGGCGAAACCTGGAGAAGTTGCAGATCAGCCCCTCGGCGCCGACTGGTGGGAGGCAGAGTAGCACGTGTGGAAAACCTTCCAGAACAAGCGCGGAGAAGGGCAGAGGGCAGCGGTCCAAGCTGCAGTGAGCTCTGGCAGGCTGGGAGAGGCCTCAGAGACAGCGGGTTGGACCTGTCAAAAAGGAAACCATGAAAGTCCTTCAGAGGAAAAGGTCCGATTGGTGAGGACAGATCCACAGCAGGCTGGAGTCTTCCGTGCTGGCTGTGTCTCGCCCGTCTCGCAGACTACAGGGGATCAAGAAAAGGTGCAGAAAGGGAACAAAGCTGCCTGCAGAATTGGGCAGGTTTGCTCCAGCGCAGAGCAACTGGGGCCTGGGAGCGGGAGGACGTGTCAGGCTACGACACGGTAAGCAGCGGTGCAGGGAGCACGGATGAGCAATAAACGCAGCACTCGTGTGTTGTGGAGGACGTAAAGGAGGACAGGGATGTGCTCTGCTCTTAGACCTTGCCCATATGTGTGATCCTTTGCCCTTGGCACAGCAGAGAAGGACTTCCAGATAATGCAGAGCGCCCAAGAGCTGAACTAGGAAGGCAGCTGCTAAGACCCACACAAGTCTGAGACCGGAGCAGTGCCCCAGAGGTTCTCCTGCCCTGCCCTGGGGAAGAAAACGCGTAACAGAGATGCCAACCCCCGGCGGAGGCTGCCTCTCTGGACAAAAGCAGTCTGCGTTCGTGCTAGAGTGAGGTCTAGAAAATGCAGTTTCCTTCACTACATCTTTACGCAGAGAGGAGTCCTAGGAGTGAGCGAAACTTTGGACAGGCAGGCCTCGCTGTGCAGTGTTCCTCTACAGACCTATGCTGCCTCTTTGGATGAAGCTCCTGCTGAGAGGATGAAGCTGTTTTTATCTGGAGCACAGCCCCTGAGGAAGCAAGTGTGCAGGAGGGGTGGCTGAAATCCTGCATGAAACAAGGAAACTTCTGTGTGCTTTGCTCCAAATTCCAGCAGGCAAATGAGGCCTTGAAAGGTGGGATCAGAGTATAGCCCATAGTTCTCATTTCACTTTGCCCAGCTCTGTTTTCCCAACCAAAGATGTCACTGGTGTCCTTAGCCATCTCTAAGCCAAGACAGAGGCTTGCTCCAGGACTCAGAGCCATGCTGTAGCTCAGCTGGGAATCGATCCCACTTTCCTGCCTTCCCAGGCTGTGCACTGCTTCTCCAGGGGGTGGCTGAATGTGCGAGTTCCTTGAGCGAGGTTGACTGGCACGTCAGAGGGGGTTTCAGTGCGCTTTGGCCACCGATGCCTTGGTGAGTCAGGGGTGAATAAATTGCTCCAGTGATGTCTTGTTTCAGCTTGGACTCTGGAGGAAAAATAGTTCCTAGGGAAGTGAGTGAGTCTTGGGTGTCTTATTGCAAAATAGGGTGGGGGCTGCGAGGCTGTTTTGTACAGAGATGCCCGGGTCATGAAATTACGTGCATTTTGGAACGAGTTACAGTCCAGATGATTCAGATATTGCTTCTCAGGAACAATGCTTCTTCATTGTCTAACCCTCACTCTGCAGAGGTGGGGGGAGCATGTCATTGTCTGACCTTCATCTACAGCCTCCTGTGACTCCGTGGGGCATTCAGAAGCATTCACCTGAGCTGCCTTCTCCGGCTGTGTTTTCCTTCCCTGCTCTGCTTTGACAGGGCAGGTCTGCAGGAGAACAGAACCAATTCCTTCCAAGGCAGGCCTGACCACAACCCAGCCGAGAGAAACGGCCCTTTTGCAGCGCAGTGCTGACTCAGAAAGCCCTGGGGAGAAAACAAGCGAAGAGTAAAGCTGGAAAGGAAACATCTCACCACGTGTGCACCACTTGACCTGCTTGCAGCATCCTGTGCAGCCAGGGCTGGGTTACAGCCCCTTACGCACTACCATCAGCTGAGGAGCGGGCCAGGGCCTGCCTGCTCTTGCTGCCTCTGGCATGCTCTGAGCAGCAGCGGGCAGTGCCCCGGGGCAGCATTTCCAGCCCTGCCCTTCCCGAGCAGCACCCAGCCTGTTCCCCTATGTTCAAAGACTGGGGAAGGCAGAGGGACTTGTACATTTGAATTATCAGTTCAGCTGATAACGGTGCGTGGGAGGCTTGCATCGGCGCTGGAGTCAGTTTTTTCCCTTTGTGCGGAAGGAACAGGCAGCTCTGTTCTGGGGCAGAAACCTTGGATTAAACTTGCTGGCAGCTGCTTTGCTTGTGTTGCCTTGAGCAGACCCCTCCCAGCTCTGCGGTGGCTCAGCGTGACCCGTAGGGGTGGTACCACAAATGAGGATAACTTGAATGCTCTGGCCAAGCCCAGAGCAGATTTGGACATACTCAAAATGCAGTTTCCCTGGGGCAGGTCAAGTCTGGATGAGCACAAGGAGCAGGCTCACAAACCGTGGTCACAGGGGAGAGCCTGCACAGCTGTGGAAGGGGATGGTTCCCTCTTCTGTCCCAGCTGTGGTGCAGAAAGGAGCTTGCGGTGTCCCAGTACCTGCACTCAGACTGCGCCTCGAGAGCACAGGTCGGTTCAGGTGTGACACCGACACGTCTGTCAGTAGTGCCGGATCACTCCCGGGGAGAGGGTTGGAAGAGGGACACCTCCGTTCTCGGGGAAAGGTGGGTAGATCTCCCTGTGTCACCAGCACAGACAGGACTTGTCTATTTCTCCGTACCCACTGCCTGGGCAAAGCACCGAGACAGCTGGTCCACAGGCAGCTCCAGATGTTAGGTGGGTAGATCTCCCTGTGTCACCAGCCCAGACAGGACTTCTCTATTTCTCCGTACTCTCTGGGCAAAGCACGGAGACAGCTGGTCCACGGGCAGCTCCAGATGTTAGGGACAGGGTAACAGCCTCTAAGAACCAGGCGGAGTCCAGCCTGACGTGCAGGTGTCTGCTTTGTCACCTGGTTTCTGGAAGCAGAGAAGCATCATGGAAGCCACAGGCCCCTGGCTGTGCTGTCCCAGCCTGAGACCCTGGGGCCAAGCAAGCCACAGGCTGCTGTAAAACATCTGCTGAAGGTGTTTCTGTGTGCAAGAGCTTACCCTGACACGTGAAGCCTGCGTGGAGGTCTGCCTGGCTGGCCTGTCTCCCGTGGCAGTACCTGCAACAGGGATCATGAGCGTGGCGATGGTTTTGTCTCGGCAGGACATCAACGCCTACAACGGGGAACAACCCGAGGAGAAACTCCCCTTCCCCATCATCGCTGATGCGAACCGGGAGCTTGCCGTCAAGCTGGGGATGCTGGACCCGGATGAGCGGGACAAGGACGGCATGCCCCTGACTGCTCGCGTGGTGAGTACCCGGCCCTGGAGCACGCTGCCTCCAGCCTCCTCGGCAGTAGGCATCGCCTGCCCTGTCTCCATGGGCTTGCAGATGGGGGCAGCTTACCTGCACGGACACGGCCGTCCTCAGGAGCTCGATTGACTTCCTTGGGCTAGATCCATGGGGTGTGCTGCAGGAAGAGGCTGGCATAGCCCCAACCTGCTGGCATCAGCTCCATCTTGGCTGTTGTCACCAGCTCATCCTGGTTGTGCCTGTCCTAACACGCTCCGTGGGGGTCATCGTGCTCGACCTGCTGGCTCTCTCCCCTCCCATACTTGCATTAGAAGGGGACAGGCCAAAGGATTGGGAAGAGGAGCTGCCAGAGCAAACGCTCTGTTCCCTGTGCCCGGGCATCACTTGTTCTCTAGAAGATCCCCACCGTGGCATCTCCACTGTCCAACCAACCTTTGATCAAGCAGGTCACCTCCTGGGAAAGGGGAGAGCAGCAGGGCTGAGCAGATCTAGCAGTGCCATTTAACAGACTCCTGCCGAGCCCTGACCCTGTCTTTCTGCTCAGGTGTTCATTTTTGGCCCGGATAAGAAGCTGAAACTCTCCATCCTGTACCCAGCCACCACCGGGAGAAACTTTGATGAGATCCTGAGAGTGGTGGACTCCCTGCAGCTGACGGCGTACAAGAAGGTCGCTACCCCTGTGGACTGGAAGGTGAGGAGGGCAGTGAAAACATGCATGGAAACATCAACCAGCATCCCTTTTAGGGAGAACCATGGGATGGGGAAAGCTGCTGAGGTCCTGGGATCTGAGTTAGACCCCAGGACTGTTGCAGCCTGGAGTCAGCCGCACTCCAAGGCTGGAGTCGGTCTCCCTTCCCTCCATCCCTGGTGCCAGCGAAAACTGGGCCTGGCCCTTCTGGGTATCAGTACTTGAACTTCAGGCAAGGCAGGTCCTGCCCTTGTTGTCTGTGACAAGGAAGGGCATTACCAGGCATCAGTGTGCCAAAGTCCACTCAAAGCAGCGAGTGTGGGACACCCCTCCCTGGGCCGGCTCGCTGCTCGGCTGCCTTTCAGCCAGGATGGGCACAGCCCTAGGCTGTGAGGACCACAGCCAGGTCCTGTCCTCGTAGAAAATGACCAGCTGAAGTTGCTTAGGTGTGGAATTATTTCAAATTCCCAAAAAACAGTTTGGGCAGCCAGGATAAAGCAAGAACAAGCAGCACAGTCTGGATGCTTCAGCAGGGTGGCTCAGCTCCTGGATGTGTCCTGCCAATGGCTAAGGGCGTGGAAGCCGGCCTGGTAGGAGCCAGAGGACACGCTCCTGCTATTACAGGGTGTCCTGGAGAAGCCCTCACGTGTTACACGCCAGGACCAGGCTCCCAAGCGTTATACCAAACACCCACAAAGGGTGCCTGAGCAAGCTGCGCTCCCTCCTGCATCATAGAGATGCTCCAGTTCCCTTCCTGTTACTCCACGTTCCCATGGCAGTCCCAAGGGGAAGGGCTGGGCTGTGGGATCCCATCGGTCCCCTAGAGCTGCAGGGGATGTGCCAGCTCCTCCGCTGCTCTCACACTTCCCCTTTTCCCCCCCAGCCTGGTGACAGCGTCATGGTGGTGCCCACCTTACCCGACGAGGAAGCCAAGAAGCTCTTTCCCAAAGGAGTCTTCACGAAGGACCTCCCCTCGGGCAAGAAGTACCTGCGTTACACCCCGCAGCCGGAGTGAGCGGGCCTGCCCGTCCGCCCCGCCGG